GTAAGAGGAGCGAAAGAGTCTTTTCGCCGCCCATACGGCAATTACAGAGGAGCATCGGGAAGAGGCAGGTCATCCAGAGGCTCCCACAATTATAGACGATGAAGGACAGGTTCGGAACGACTGGAATCTTCCACCCCCAGCCGTTCCAGTACAACCATCTCAAGTGGGTGGACGCCTTCAACTGCACTGGGAAAACTGGGGATTCCTAGAGGATCCATATGACTCCAACATCCTACAGCACGGATATCGCATACAACTACAGGCCACGCCGCCGCTGACAGTCATCCCTCCGAGGTTCGACTTCCAGGCTCTACAACTACCAAAGTTAAGAGAAGCGGTATCAACGCTCCTAACCAAGCAGGCCATAGAAGTACTGGACCAAGTAAACATCGAACCAGGCTTCTACTCCCCAGTTTTCCTAGTGCCCAAGAAAAATTCCAAAGAAAAGTTTCGTCTCATCTACAATATGAGCACGTTCAACAGAGACTATCTACGCAAACCGCCAGCGTTTCGCATGATACACTTACCACAACTACGGCACTTAATTCGTCCCAGAGACTACATGGCCAGCATAGATCTGCAAGGACGATATCTACACATCCCAATACATCCCGACTCCAGGAAATACCTTCGGTTTACACTAGGCGGGCTGCATTACCAATGGAAAGTACTACCTTCGAATCTCATCGGCCCCTGGTTATTTACAAGAGTGGCCGAAACCTATCGTCTCTTACCTACATCGTCAAGGTCTACGCAGTGCATTCTACCTCGACGACGGGATACAAGTGGATCCAGATCCACAGCGTCTCAGACTAAAGTTAAACTTCATCATCAAGCTACTAACACAGCTAGGATGGTTAGTAAATCTACTCAAGTTGGACCTAGAACCTACGCAAGATCTGCAATTTCTAGGCATTCGATTTCTCACGGCGCAGAATCGTATCGTCGTACCGGAGGACCGATGGATCAAGATCCAACAGATAATCCCTCAAGCCTTACTCTCTCCGCTACCGCTACGACAATGGCAGAGCCTGTTGGGTCTACTCACGTCAGCTCAAGACATGACAGTCAGAGGCAGACTACAGTTACGTCCGTTACAGGTCCTCACCAACTCTCATCTCGACGACCCTCAACCATTCAGTCTACCGAATCACGTCAAACCTCACCTACTATGGTGGACCAAGTGATCGAATGTTTGCGATGGAATCTGTTTAATAGAGCCGGAATTGAAAACACATCTCTATGTAGACGCGTCGCTCCAAGGTTGGGAAGCACACCTCGCCAACAGGACGGCATCAGGGTTATGGAGCCAACAAGAGAGCATACTACACATAAACTTGCTAGAAATGCAAGCAGTAGTAAACGCCATACATCATTGGAGCAACTTACTAAAGAATGCCAAATTGATGATTCACACAGACGATTCAACAGTGGCGTTTTATGTGAAGGCTCAACCAGGTCCCCGAACCTATTGACTCTATGTTTTCAATTGTTTGATCTAATCGACAATCTCAACATACATGTCAGAGCATGTCACATTGACAAAGAATGTAATAGCAGACGCTCTCTCTTGGCCACACCTACCATCGCCGACAGAATGGATGCTCCATACAGAGATATTCGCACAAATTATCAAGAAAATAGGAGCTCCACTAATAGACCTATTTGCCACTCGCTTCAACAATCAGCTGACAACATTCGTATCACCAGTCCCAGACCCACTAGCATGGGCAACGGACGCACTAAGCATATCGTGGGAAGAACTCAACGCATACGCGTTCCCTGCCGTCAGCGTTAATCCCACAGGTGTTACAGAAAATCAGGCAAACTCGGAGCCTCCAAATGATTTTGGTCACGCCCTACTGGCCAGCGAGAACGTGGTTTCCAACTCTTATTCAAGAAATCGGACAACCAATACTACAACTTCCAAAGCGCTCGAATCTACTAATACATCCTCACACCAAACAAGCGCACGGAAAGCCAGAAGCATTCCAACTTCACGTATGGACTGTATTAAGGCGTGTCTAAACAAGAGAGGTTATTCAGCCAGAGCGGTGAAAGCAGTCACGCTTGCCTTACGTAACTCCACTCGCAACTTGTACGATGACAAGTGGCACAGTTTTGAAAATTATGCTGCAAAGAAGTGGCTGACTACTTATTTTACCTACGTCAGACTAAACATCTAAAAGGCTCAACATTATCAACATATCTCGCAGCTTTAAGCTCTGTCATAACTATGAGAACGGGTGTCAAGCTGACGAAAACCCCAGAGTTGCTCGCCTTACTATGTGCATTCCGATTGGAGGATCAGAAACAGAGGTTTCGGGCTCCAGCATTAGATCTAAATATAGTGCTCCAACACCTCACAAGTGAGGCATATGAACCACTGGAATCAACATCATTCGAATTTCTGACACAGAAAACTTTGTTCCTGTTATCCCTAGCAACAGCAGCCAGGATGTCAGAAATTCACGCACTAGATTACGAGAGAACACGCTTTGATGACAATCACAACATCGTGCATATGGGACTACGCTGGGATTTCATCGCCAAGAACCAGTTGCCAGGTCAACCAGACAGATTATTCACGCCCCAGCTCTCTCATCAATTCTCGGACCTCATGATACACTGGATCTATCATTATGCCCAGTCAGAGCACTGAAAATATATCTCACTGGCGTTCCAATCCGGTGACATAAACTCAAACGATTATTCATCCCTCTATCGACAGCTACACAGACTGAAGTCTCGCGTACAACTATCTCGATATGGATCAGGACTGTCATACTCACGTGCCTACAAGGCTGCAGGACTCGACCCTCCAAGAGCATCTAATCCACATGAAATTAGAGCGCTAGCTTCAACACTTGCTCTACACGGCAATTGCTCTTTGAATACCATCATGGAGGGCTGTTTCTGGAGATCTGATATGGTGTTTGCCAACCACTATCTGAGAGATATCACCACCGAGGACGTCTCAGGCATTCACCATTTCGGTCCCATGGTCCTCGCTCAGCAGTTGACAGTCCCTCGGAGAAGATAAGTCAATCTTACGAGATTTTTACTGCTTATTTCACAACAGTACTATATAGCTAATAACTCCATGAAGTTTATGCTATTATATATTTTAGCTTAAGTTCAATCACAATCTTAAGCTCAGTACTATGTTTATTATATCATAATAATATCATTAGCTAACAACTCTATGAAGTTTATGCTATTATATTATCAAGCTTAAGCCTATCTTAGTCTTAAGCATAGTATTCATGTTGTAAATACTTTATTTATGTTTATCATAATATATATATATTGTAGTAACCCATATATGGCAGCTGATAAGTTTAACAGCAGGAATTTATCAATTCGGTGCCTTTATGAAGTTCCCATAGGGGTTATTACAGTTATTACAGTTATCAAATAATTAATTATCTAAATCCAAAGTATGAGTCAGGATAAGGAAAAATATGTAATTTTCTGAATAAAATTGATATTTTATACTTATCCTGACTCATGCTCTTTTGCTTGTCTTCTTCTTCTTGCGAACACAGTGGAACACTTGTATCTCCCAATTGAAGCTCCCTTCAATGTAAAATCACTAATTAGTACTCACCAAGAGTGATCTCCATCCCACTCCTTTGCGCGGGAACGAGGGCGCCACTTCCCGCCACATGCCTCACTCTCTCCTTATATAGCGAGCCCAACACTTGAATTTTCAGGGAAATCCAAAGTGTTATGTGGGGAGGATGGGAGGGCTTACCCCATGAGTCAGGATAAGTATAAAATATCAATTTTATTCAGAAAATTACATTATTCAACCCTCTAAATTCTTGCCAAAACCATGTAACTCAAATATAAGTCGACCCCTTTCCCCCGTATGTATCGGTATTGGCTAGATCGACGTCATGACTGTTCAACACTTTAACATGACTAATGTAAACACGTGTTTGTTATCTTTTGTAAAAGCATGTTCAAGCATGTTCAATACCTGAAACTTGTTTATTTTGAGTGCAGATTTCCGATTGGCTAATGATAAAATGAAAGGCCAATCAACAGAAGCCTGACATAACCAAGAAAGGTTGTGTTGTGTGAAATGTTTTTCGACTTTGTTTAAAAAGTGAGCGTATGTGTAAAGACCAACTATGATTGAAAATACATCATATAAATGTTACTAGATTCAAATATGTTTGATGCGGAAATTATGATGTGTAAATAGTTCTGTAAATGTGCTTCAAAATGATATTTTTGTATTAAAAACTGTTCAGTTGGGAACACGCATTGTGTGGGATGCATTGAGCGAACGCTACTGTACAACCGAGACTGATCGAGTGACACAGATATTTGACTTCGATTTAATTTCTTGATTAATATCATCTGTAGTATTTATTAAATTATTAACAGTACTTTTCAAAACCATCACACAAAACTGCCACAGAATACAAAGTTTACTTTACGTGAAACTTTCTTTCAAGTCGTGTCACGTGGCCCAAATTTATCGATCGATAACAAAGTTAGTAAATAGTTGTGATCAAAATATCTGATTAAATTTAATTTAACGTTTATATTATTAAATATATTTTACAAAAGACAAACAACAAAATTATATATTTTTTGTTTTATTTGACCCACGATGTCATTTACCTTTGGAAACGTTGTCAGTACGTATATGCTTCCTGCTTCCAGTGTAAACATTGCCAGTTGAGTTCGCTGGGCTGGCAGATTCACTCACCTGACCTCTGGAATTGTTGGGGTAGATTAATGAACTCAATTATAAGTCGGGTCCGATTATTTAGCTCCTTTTTCTGGTATCAAATTTCCGACTTATAGTCGGTCATATACGGTAATTTTGATTGGTCATTTGGGAGGGAAAATAATTCTCATGTGTCATTGAAAGAAATGCCATAGAATTCTGTAGTTTTTGATTGCTGGTGAAGTGAACTAATTCTGATTTGGTATTCAAAGAATTGCCAATGAAATCTGTAGGTTTTTATTGTGTTTTTCAGGTTTTGGCCTCTCACCATCTCTGTCCCCTCATGCCAACCTGACGTCCCGGTCCCTGGGTGGCCTGTCTGGGGTAAATTACCCCGGCCACCCGCTGCACACCACCATGCCACAGTTCCTGGACCCGATGGCACCATTACAAGCCTCCTTCACAAGCCAGCCCACATACAAACCAATGTCGATGGGGCAGAATCCTTACCCCTTTGACAGCTCGGCCAGATCCTCCACAGAGGTCCCTGTCACTTACTCCCCTGCACGGTACTCAGCGGGGACACCTAGTTTGTCAGCACACACCAAAACCCCTCTGTTCTCTCCACAAGAACTGACTTCGTCGAAGGATTTGGCAGCATCTTTTGCAGCATCCTCTCAAGGTCTTACTGCTGAGACGAGCCCGAAAGGCTGGGGGCTATCCAACTTCCTCCCAACACCAACAACACCGTTTGGGAACATATCTGACGCTCTGCCCAGCGACTTTGGCTTGTCTCTTCCTCAACCTCAACAGACACCTCCGCCAGCTCACAGCTCGGGCAGCCGCATCAACACCATCCAAAGGAATCCATATACAGCAGACATGTTATTTGCTGAAAGCACACGACCCGTTAAAAATCCCCAACCCCTCCACTCTCCAAGAGATCCGTCACCTTTCACCAGCGTAAGCAGCAGTAACTATGGGCGGATTTCAGATGCGATCCAGTCCCCTAAGTCCAGCCTGCCCCCTCCAACACCTCACAGTTACACAGCATCTCCACCAGAGATCGAGGACCTGTCCTCCCACTCACAGGCTCACCCCATTTACAGCTCCTATATGTCCACATCTTACAATTCTATACCATCAGGCAACCCTGTGTACAGTTCTTCCCAGTTACAACAGGACATGGACTACGATCCTGTCAGCCCAGCTACACCTCTGTCTGAAGCACCTCAGCCTAATGATAACCCATTCACCACTGTCTCACTGCAAGATCTGGCGGCACTAGGCACAGCACAGAGTCCAGTCCATGAGAAGCCTCACCAAAGAGAAACAAGTCGAGACAATATCTTAAATCGTGAAAGTGTTCTTCTACATCAAGAGAGTATGTTGCATGCTTCCCTTGAAAAATCAAATCATGTCTAAAGAATCCGCCCATGTCCAAAGCTTATCATCTCACATGACAATGCAGCACACACCACCTGGAATCCACAATGGGCAGAACATTCAGAACGCTGCCAGTCCAATGCAGCAGTCTCCGATAAGTGTTGGGAGCCCGCAGATTCCCATGTCTGTGTCCAGCCCTCAGGTTGCCATGCCACTAGGGAGTCCCCAGAGTCTCATGCCCAGCTCCACCGTGGTGCAGGCTCCCCCCGCCCATTCAGGCGATGGCTGATTCTACAACGAAACCAAAGCGAGGAGGAAGAGGAAGCCGAGGCGGAAGGGGTGGTGGAGGAAGAGTTAGAAGGAAGAAGGACGAGGACAATAATTCCTTTATGGGAGAGATCCATCAGCCTCCTATTTTTGCCAATGAAATTGCTCAACATCAACAGTCGCAGCGTCAGCCACATCCAGCATACAGTGACATGGGTCATTCAGCTTACCGACCAGATAGTCGTCAGCCGGAGTTGAACCAGACCTTCCTTCACTCCGACATGGGAGTAGAGTCATCTCTGACTCCAGGTATTCAGAGACAATTGTCTGCTGGACAGACATCAGAACCCATGCAGAGGTCACCCCTGGAAGAGAGTCTGGTCAGTGTGCAGCAGCAACAGCAACAGCAGTCCATTCAGGACCAGATGACCACAACTCATAGGACCATGACAATGTCGGAAGATCTTCTGAGTCGTCATTCCTCAATGTCGTCTCTAAACAGCGGACATCAAGCATCACCAATGCAGGAAGCCCTGTCCATGAACCACCAGCCATCTTACTGTGACAACATAGTGAGTGGGCAGCACTCCTCACCTCTAACCAACCCATCCCCCCCAAACCAGATGACAGTGGATAGTTCCCACATTGTTCGAAACACAGACAGTTCCAGTATGACCAGTCACTCTGCTCTTTCCGACTCTTCCATTGACCAAAGAGGCTCTGTGCTCAGTGCTGTCAGAGAGACGGATGCCATCATGTCAGGTGCTGATCAGTACAACATGAACGGATTTGTGGACACCCCCTTCATGGATCAGCTGGCAGACACGCCCCAAGCTGTGTCCCAGTCAATGAGCTACCAGCAGCAAGGTCACATGGCCATGATGGACAAGAATATCATGTCACCTGACATGAACAATCCTAACTCATTTCAGGATGCGATGAATAATGGCATGCATATGTCACAGTTCGGAAATACATTTCAGATGCCCCAGGAGCAGCACCATCTCGCCAACCTAGACATGAACGCAGTCAGTCAGGCCGGATCCACCATTGATGAGGCCACATTTTCGAGTCTATTTGGTTCTCCTAACAATTCTGAAAAGGTCCGGCGCAGGACCAAAGCTGAACAGAAGTTGATGCCAATTGTTACTCCAAAGGTTGATGAAGATGAAGAGCTGGCTCACTTGGCGTTGCCTCCGCCAGCCGCCAGTGATCCTATTTCACAAACAAAGGAGGAGACCAGGGTCAGGAAGTCTTTTGGGAGTTCCTTCCAGGACTGTTTCCTGAACTATCTCATGGGAAAGAAGCAGGAGACTTTAGAGAGTCTCAGTAGTGCTACTATACATAAGAAACCGCAGCTGCCAAAGTACTTCCCAGAGCCAAGGAGACCTCGGCCTCCATCACCACCACCCAAGAAAGATTCCAAAAGGTCCAGCGGGTCATCTGACGAAGGCTCATTCTCAGGTGTCGGCTTCTCGGACAGTGATAGTAGTGAAGAGAGTGTAGCTAAGACAGTTCAAAATGTGATTTCGCAAATGAGTGATGACGAGTCCAAGGACAGAGTGAAAAAATCCAAAGATTTGACAATAAGGATTTCTGTGCCATCATTGAAAAAGTCCCCCCGTAGTCCGCGAGTGCGAGGTGCTAAAGGAGGGAAGGCCCGCGGGCCTCGGGGGTCGAAGGTGAAAGGGAAGGGTAGTGGTGCAGTCGTGGATGGTACCAATCAAGGTGGGGAGCTGCCACCAGCTGAAGAAGCGCCTGTCATCCAACCGAGGGAACGTATTTCAAGGAGGGCAAAGGAGAAGGCACTGCAAAAGAAAAAGAGTACGTGTGCAAACTTTGTTTCCATGGAATTCCAAGGGGTTAAGTGTTCCAGGATGTTTCCTTCATGTTTGATTGTTTAGTTGAAGGAACAGTGATACCGAACAGTATAGCACAGATTAGGGCATAACCCCCAGGGAACCGTTCACAATTAATGAGGCGTGGGGGGAGGAATGTTGATTTTTATGGAGAAGCATGTACAATGTGAATAACTCCGCCTAAAATTTATGTACATAGTAAGTGACCTGGGTGCTTGTCATGTACAAAATCAATGACACCCCTAGTACATGTGTACAAAAATTTATGACACCCCCTAGTACATGTGTATAAAATTGATGACACCCCCAACCTCCCCAGAACTAAATTGGTGACCCCCCTCACCGCCCCTAGCCATAAATTATGTCCCTTATTTGACTCATGACATGTTTTATGTATATAACTGATGAACACGTACAGGTACTCACAGACATACACTGGATTTCACTTTGCTACCACTAAAGGCGACCAGAAGAAAAGGGTCGAGAATAAACTATAGCTAGTCAGTACAGTGGTTGGGGAGGTGGGGTAGCCTAGTGGTTAAAGCGTTGGCTCGTCACGCCGAAGACCCGGGTTCGAATCCCCACATGGGCACAATGTGTTAAGCCCATTTCTGGTGTCCCCCGCCTTGATATTGCTGGAATATTGCTAAAAGCGGCATAAAACTAAACTCAGTCAGTCAGTCAGTCAGTACAATGGTCATTTTTTACCCTGTTTCTATATCCAACATTTCTGTACCTGGTGCAGAAGTTTCCAAACCTGGTGTTGCAGAGAATTCTGATGACTCATCCAGTAGCAGCTCGGACGATGAGAACATCAAGAGCATCACCAAGGAGGAGTCCGAGAAGGATTACGACTCTGATAAAGACCCAGCCTGGACACCGTTTGAAGTTGTAAGTAGTGTTGGACAGTCATTGGGGCACTGCTGGCTAAGTCATCTAACACACTGCAACAGGGTATGCAGAGTTTCATTCCTTTACATGTGCCGTAACCTGTAATTGCGAGTTTGAATCCCAGATTTCGCCCGGGTTTCACCAAATTGGTAAATCTCAAGCCTGTATCACTTTGGGCTTAGCTACAACATGAAGATGACTTGATATAAATGTGATTACTGTTCAAAGTAGTAACAGTAATAGTGGGTAGTAAAGGGTGGGACTGGTCTTCAGTCACATGACATAACGGTAATAGTGAGTAGTGTATGACGGGTGTAGTCTTCAGTCACATGACATAACGGTAATAGTGAGTAGTGTATGACGGGTGTAGTCTTCAGTCACATGACATAACGGTAATAGTGAGTAGTGTATGACAGGTGTAGTCTTCAGTCACATGACATAACGGTAATAGTGAGTAGTGTATGACGGGTGTAGTCTTCAGTCACATGACATAACGGTAATAGTGAGTAGTGTATGACGGGTGTAGTCTTCAGTCACATGACATAACGGTAATAGTGAGTAGTGTATGACGGGTGTAGTCTTCAGTCACATGAGATAACGGTAATAGTGAGTAGTGTATGACGGGTGTAGTCTTCAGTCAAACGGTAATAGTGAGTAGTGTATGTCGGGTGTAGTCCGTCACATGAGATAACGGTAATAGTGAGTTGTGTATGACGGGTGTAGTCGTACTCTGTCAATACCGCATCAGTTGTCTTAGGACCAAGTAAAATGCCGGTTTTGACAGAGTGCCGGTTTAGCTAGGTTCGCTTTATGACGCTTCGCGCACACGGAAGTTCGTCGCACTGTCACTGTTAGCATTAACAAGATGTTTGAATAAGAAACAAGGCAGTGTCTGAATGCACATTCATGTTGTTTAAATCAAATAAAAATGTCTGAAATCTCTTATTAAATTTCAACTGATCATATATTATCGGGCAGAATTAAAATTATAAACTATTTTTCGCAATGTTATTGCAAACAACGATTCTTGTTTATGCTTCGCAGCTGGTCTACAATAGCATTGTCAAAGAGCAAAGTAACGATGTTTCAAACATCGAGGAAATCATTAAATAAATTGAAATCAACAATAACATTCATAAAAGTTGTCAAACGCACATATAAAATTACTATTTCCATTCTTTGAGCGATCATGCAATGTAAGTCAAGTCACTGACAAGTTACATCTCGGCTTTCACACGATGCTTAATGTGAAAATATATGCTGAAGCATTTTGTCATAGGCCATAACCTAGCACGATATGTCCAATACGCTCCATGATTTACGATAGGTAGCTTATGTCTTTCTTAATATGTTCAGAATAGCATTATTTTACCCAAAACTTTCGCCTTAATCTAAAACTTTTCGCTTATTTAGGACGGTATCCATTTCCATAATATGATTGGCTGCTTAGGTCACGGTCTGATTTTGACCAATCACGCACCCTTATAAGCAGAGTGTAGTGAAAAGCCGCCGTTAGAAACCAATCTTTATCCAATAAAATCGCTTCTTACAAATGTGAAAATACTCGCAAGAGTACAGTGATATTGTTGATGTTCAGAGCTTTCGAACGATACACGCCATCAAACGATTCGCCTCTATGTAAGTGACACGCGCCACTCACTAATTAACAAGAAACTGATTGACACTTCCCGTTTCTGAATAATCACGGAGTCAATACCCGCGAATCAACAAAATGTAAACACTTGCTTGTTTATACAGTCAAACTGCCCACTACATGTATTAATTACTCTAGGTAAGTGTTACGCACTCACTCACTGATTAACAAGATACTGATTAACACTTCCCGCTTCTGAATAATCTCGAGTCACAACGAATTGTGTTGTTACATCATTTGGACCTAATTGCATCAAAGGGTTACGCCGCCTTGTTCATGTGCCGGTTTTACAGATTCGCTTTCATAACAACTTGTGCATTTCTGGGACTGAAAACAATGCCGATATCCTGAATAGACAGATGCCGTATATATGTTTACAGAGGTTTCTAAATGATAATAACGCATTTCTGCCGGACTGAAACTTTGTGCCGATGTAGACAGAGTGCAGGGTGTTAAGAGAGGCCGGTATTGACAGAGTCCACTGATGTACAACATGTCTCGGATTCTTTACAACTGAATTCATGTTTTCCAGACGATCTCGAAACCGAAGTGCAAGCCAGAGGAGACCCTCGGACACGCCCCCTGATCTGACCCCAGCCATGTCGCCTCCCAAGGTGGCGAAGTTCTCTCCCCTTGACGCAGGCAGCGTCACAGCTGAGACACCCAAGACAAACAGTGTCCCCTCCAGTCAGGATTCTGAAGATTTTGTGGTGAGTAGCGTCAAGAAACAATAATCATTGAAGTTGCTCTTGATATTTTTTCAAGATTAAGTGGTGATGATACTCTGCAGGCCAATCTGATGTGGCAAATTGTTGAACATAATTCACATCATTCACACAGAATAACATATTGTAGAATAATACCTATCAAAAAAGTATTGGAGGACGACCCGATTCTTTCATAGCTAACGTTTCATGCCTCATGACCACACTCGGCGCAGTGATGACTTAGCATAACATCACCACCACAGCTAATCACGTGACCGGACTTTTCTCTTGTTTGTAAACAAGCTTGCATATTCATAATAAGAAGAGACTGGCCTTACGCAAGCTTTTCGGCGTGCTTTTCACTATGTTTTACATTGTTGCATATATATTCTTCCATAACTACAACAGTAACATTTATGACAGTACATATTTAGACATCAAACTGGTTGCATCGTTTGCTCTCTTTTGGCTTCGATGACAGCACGTGGAGCCGTACAACCTATGTAAACAAAGTATCGCTACACAAATCGAAATAGTGTTACATGTTTTAGGATATTTTCTTAGGAAAACTAAACCATTTTATCAAAGATGTTTAATTAGATATGTAGATTCGTCAAAAATAAAAGAGTTAAGAAATATGTAAATTATATTGAATGGACAGTGCAAGATGTGACGGCTTTCTGGCCTGTGGCAGTGGTACTATGCTGGCTGGCCGGCCGCATGGAACTCTGGGTAGGAGAGTTACCTCATGACATGACCAGCAACCCTGGTAACTTCAGTAATGTGAATCATACCAAAAAAGACGTTAAAAATATGGTACTTGGTGGTCCCTGCCTGGCGCTCGGCAATAATGGGTACAACAAGGACTGGTCAGCTCGGAGTCAGTATAGTGTGTCTGCGTGGGGTATTCATGCTTCACTGCGGCATGGTATCTCAGTGGGCTAGCACTATAAAACCAGCTTGAGTCTAGGCTAGTACAAGCAGCCGCACATACACATACACATGCATGCACGTCGTCATATGAGCGAAATATTCTCAAGCACGACGTAAAAACCCAATTTCACCTCACCTCACCTCAGTAATGTGAAAGAATTGGGTGGTCCTTAACCTCTTTTTTAAGTAGTACACATGTTACTCAAATGTATCAAATTGTAAAACAGATGGAGCTGTCTTTGTGCATAGCCCATGGTGGAGACGTACTGTTGACAGCTGTAACATTTCAATATTTCAGATAGGGAAGTTTATTCTTGAAAAGAAAGATATGCATAATTATGAGAGTTACCCCATCTGGAAGATTGAGCAGGGCAGGATGATCCACAAGTACGAGATCACCTCGGAGGATGGCAACATCAGACACAAGGCTGTGTCCACGGTGAGTGTAGATCGACGGGTAGTGGCAGGTCAACGGGTGTTGAAATGATGATGTATGGCTGCTGCTTTTCATCGTGGTCCGAAACCACAGATTATAAGTGGTTCTTAGATTACAGTACACCCGTGAAGATCCGGGTTAGCATTGATCTTCAGCAACCCATACTTGTCGTAAGGGGCAGCTAACAGGATCGGGTGGTCAGGCTCGCAGACTTACATGTCATTGTATCCTGGCTGAATTGTCTGGTCCAGAAGCGATTATTGCGGAGTGCGGTGTTAAACAGCAAACGAACCAACTTGAGTACAGTACAAAACTTCTCTGACATTGGGGCACTGGTGGCTAGGTCATCTAACACACTGCAATAGGATATGCAGAGTTTCATTCCTTTACGTGTGCCGTAACCTATAATTTCGAGTTTGAATCCCAGATTTGGCCCCGGGTTTCACCAAATTGGTAAATCTCAAGCCTGTATCACTTTGGGCTTAGCTACAATGACTTGATATAATTGTGATTACTGTTCAAAGTAGCATTAACCCCAAATTCATTCACTCAGAGATAAGGGTCTCTTCTAAATGTACTAAGTTGTCTCCATTTCCAGTATTCAAGTTGGATGCCAACTATGCGAGACCAGTTTGTGCCAATCAAAGTGAAGCTTATATCCAGTCGGGATGCGGTGGAGATTGTTGAGGTGACTGAAGAGTATCGACCAAAGCCCCCAACAGACGGCAGGTGGGTAGTTTGTACAGCCTCTCAGTGATAATTGTGGCACAAAACTGCATTCATACCAAATTACTTCCCACATCTGATGATGCCGACATTTTTGTTTCTGATTCAAAAGTCATATGTCAAGATAGCCTGTCTCAACTGCAGGGTTTGAGTGTTGTACTTTATGGGGCAGTGAGGTAGTCTAGTAGTTAAAGCGTTCGCTCTTCACGCTGAAGACCCGGGTTCAATTCCTCTCATGGGTACAATGTGTGAAGCCCATTTCTGGTTCTCCCAGCTGTGATGTTGCTGGAATATTGCTAAACGCAATTAAAACTATACTCACTGTAACTGATATTGTGTTTCAGCTTGGAGACCAAGTATGAAGATGATCCCCTGGTTGACTTGTTCAACGTGTACCTGCAGATCTTTCTCAGTCAGGCCCTGGAGCCTGGCTTCCTCAGTGCAATCACAGATGCCCAAGGTCAGTACACAACACTCGGCTTGGAAAGAACTCGAATTTTAATGTTGATGTACTGGATTTACTGTTTGTCTCAAGCAAGTCAGTACCTATGAAGATCTAGGTTAGAATTGGTCTTCATTAACCATGCTTGTCGTAAGAGGCGACCAACTGGATCGGGTGGTCAGGCTCGCTGACTTGATTCATATGTCATCGTATCTCAACTGCATAGATCGATGCTCATGCTGTTGATCACTTTATTTTTTCCTTATCCTGACTCATGCTCTTTTGCTTGTCTTCTTCTTCTTGTAACATAGTGGAACACTTGTATCTCCCTAATTGAAGCTCCCTTCAATGTAAAATCACTAATTAGTACTCAGCACGAAGTTACCTCCCTTCCACAAGCTGAACGAGGGCTGCCACCTCCACCCATGTGCCTCACTCTTCCTTCTTCGCCCAGTGAGCTGGACGAGAGAGCTTGTGTCTCCGACACACTATATCCTTTGATTATATTTAGTTAGTTACCCTCGTGATAGACATCTATAGAGGTTTAGCTAGTATCCTTCAACAATTATATATTGATATTTAGTCGTTTCTACTGTTTATTCACGGACTGCGGTTTGTTTCAGTGGATTACGCTTGATAAAAATTCTGTTCTGTTGCAGATTACGCTTTTTTATTCTGCTGCTGATCCGCATTTAATATGCCCTAGTTGTACTGCGCCATGTTCATTTTATTCACGCTTGCAGTTGCGTACTAATTTATCCATTTCTGCCTTTAATAAATAATTACTTTGGCGCTTGAGACGCGCAGCAGATAGGTCGCTGTGATGCAGAGTCTAGCCATGACTGATACACCTGAACCCTCGCCAGTCTACTGCTGTTGGTCGACCCCTCCCGCCTGGTGTTCCGCTTAGAGTGGTGGAGAGGCGCGGGACGAGTCCGCCGCCTCCAAGAAGCGCCCTGCTTCCCCAGACATCCCATCGCCGCAGCCGAAGACTAGAGGGTTTCTACTGCATCTCAACGCGAATTCTGAGGGGAAATCAACGAAGTCTACTTGAACTTTTCAGCCGAGATTGTTCCCGCCGCAGATTTAGCCTGTATGATGATCAGCCGATCATCATACCTGATGTACATCAAAAGAATGACCGATGTCGACAACAGTGATGTCAGCGAGATCAACATGCAGCCTGATGTACCAACGCTGATATTCTATGATCTTCCTGAGGGTCCCGCCGCCGCTACCAACACTCAACGCAGACTTCGCGACCCCAGGGCAGCGCCGACCTCTGAGGGGAAATCAACGAAGTCTACTAGGACTTTCTCAACCGAGATTGTTCCAGCCGCTGAACTGGCCTCTACGATGATCAGCCGATCATCATCCCCGACGACGCCACAAGAAGCGACCGGAGACAGCTACAGTGACATCAGCAGAGATCGCCATGCAGCCTGAGGTCTCTACACTGACGCCAGACGACTCCCTGAGGGCCCCCCCGCTAACATCGCAGAGAGGGCACCGACTAATTCGCCGCAGACCATCCCAGATGAACTGTTGCGCAAATCATGATCATGATGGAGGGCCACTACAGACTGGGAAGCAGCCAGCCCAAGGCCTGAGCCTTCGCTGAAGGTTCCAACGCAGACGACACCCCAGAGGCACCCCCATCAGCGCAACAGCCACGACGAAGCCACCTTCGCTAAGGAAGTCGCAGACCACCTCCACGGCGACCCAGATGTACAGCCTTCGCGAAGGCCTTCGCTGGGCGGATAGATCATCACCTGCCTCGGCTTCATCCTTAGATGCGACTCAGACCATCAGACCTCACGGAAGCCTTCGCTGAAGGTCAAATCGCCGCTCCCCAGGACCGACGAGAGGAAGCTTCAAGGCCTTCGCTAAGGACACCTGACTACACAAGAGCTTCGCTGGCTATCAACATTCTCCTCACAGGTCTCCGAGAAGGTCAACCCATAGACGAGATCACCAACACGATCTCTCCGCCGCTAACCGCCGATCTCTTCAGACATCACCACGCCGATCGCCTCACAGGTCACCACACAAGTCTGCACACAAGTCTACAGTCAGGTCTCCCCGAAAGGCCACCCGACATAGAGATAGAAATACACAGTCCACCATCAGAAGAGCAGCAACATCTCATCAGCGATGTTGGGATAGAAAATGATGGAGGCATCATTTTTCAGACGCTGAGATACTTATATTGGATGGTAAACAACCTAGATCTCTCTTCACCTTCCAAGAGTGGCAACTCGGCGCAGACATACCTGATAAAGGAAGACGAGGCAGACGCCATCACCTTACCTCCGACGACTCGATTGCTGCGCGGTGCCACAGTATGTGGACACAGCCTACCATAAAGCCATAATAGTTCAAACGCCAGAGGCGATGTTCTTGGCATTAATAGATCTAGAACGATCAATGAGATTCTTATCACCAGATTTCGCGGACACGACTTCTGAAGATGATAGGATGATCTACTCGGCTCTACTTATGCAGAACCAGCAAGAACCACACCCTGTATGAAGCTAACGCCATATATTGATCGGATTCTAGACACTTCGCTAAGGAAGTCCCAGGCCACCTCCGCGAAGGAGCTAGAGCCTCACCAGTTACAAGGGACGCCACGGAGGAGTAGCGCTTCACCGACCCCACATATTGCTGAGTGCGGCGAAAAAAAAACACTCACTCACTCACCCTGTTGAACACAGAGGTCGCTCTCGGCAAGCAAGCCATATATTATATATATACTGATCGGCTCTGACTCGATACCTTTCAAGGTCGCTAAGGCTAAGTGGCTCCAAGTCTACCTCACACAGGAAATCTAGAATGGATACTTCGAGAGCTTCGCGAAGTCTCCTCAAGGCCCACCGAGGAATTCTCCTCCAAGGTCTCCATATATTAGCCACTGGCCATATATAGCTACTCGCCAGTCCGTTTCAAGACATCGCATAAGTTGTCTATCAACTGTATGCCATATGCCGCCTATAAGCCTACGCTAAGACAATTGCACAGGCTATTTACAACACAAAACGCCGCTATATTAATTAATCAACGACGCTGCATAGATCTTCACAGAAATCAACCTTTCCGTGATAGATTGCTAGAATATGCAATCCCGACTACGATACGATTATCTACATGTGACCATTACGCAGATCTGCAGACAATTCAATATCGAAATTGAACAGCAGCCTTGTTACAGCGAGTATAACTCATAATCGTCAAAGTTTCTGAGAAGAAATATGTACAAGTTCAGCTTTAATTCTACAATTATGACGATACATTCATGTATACAGTCTACAAGCTGACAACTTGCAAGTTTATTGTACCTTTATATAAGGAAGTCGGAATTATATTCAAAACTGAAGTTACATTCACGACAGCCAGGAAAATAACCTACCCAGCATTAATATTACAGAGCGAGGTATTTCGCGCCGGAGGTTTCGCTAAGTTTACCTTAACCCTCAAACACGGGTCACCGGGTAACTTCGAAGCTACGTGAAGACCGACGATTATGCTAATATCAACGACGGCAAGATTTTATACAAGGTTTTTCCTGCTACACCGGTGACATCACAGCTGGTATTCTACAGAATCAAAATGCCTTGTTCTGATTGGACCGCTGTTGGACAACCACTCCACGAGAGGTCGCATCTTAGTTCACAGTTCAAGACTTACGCTACAAGTGAAACTATATATCAGTGAACGAAAGCAAGCCTCCTTACAGTCCAGTTAATCTGAACCTTCATGATTGGGCTGCTTTCTTCAGGTTAGAGACCTCCCCTGTCAAGTTAGGACGAGGGCACGGCAGTCAGGCAATTTTACATAAAGTTCAACGAGGACAGACACACCTGGTTGTGCACCTACATCGCCAAGGACTTCGCAGCTTAATAACCTAGACGACGGGATACAAGTGGATCTAAATCCACAGCGCCTCAGACTACAGCTGAATTTCATAATCAAGCTACTAACACAACTAGATGGTTAGTAAACCTACTTAAACTTTCTGATTGGAGAATTAAAACGGAAGTTTCACCCTCCAACTTGGGGATCTGAATATAGTGTTCCAACACCTCACAAGTGAGGTTTATGAACACGCCTGGATGACATACTTGGACTCCATGATACGATGATTCTATCACGATGGCCAGCAAGAGCACTGTAAATTTATCTCCACCGAAACAAACAGAAGGGAATAATACAACAGATTATTTCCTCTATCATCAACTTACGAGAATGAAATCTCACGCACTATATCTCCGCTTTGATCAGAACTGTCATACTACGTGCATACAAGACGGATGGACCTAATCCGACCCTCCATGAGCTTTTAATACTCATGATATTAGAGCTTAACTTCTACAATTGATCTACACAATATTATTTGAAATAATGGAGGGTTTATTTTCTGAGATCCGATATGGTGGTTGCCAACCATTATCTGAGAGATATCATCACCGAGGACGTCTCAGGTATCCACCATTCGATCCCATGGTCCTCGACAACAGTTGACAGTTCTCGAGAAGATAAGTCAATCTTACAGATTTCTACTTATCTTATAACAGTACTAAATAGCTACATGCTATATATAATTTGCTTAAGTTCTTTTTATCATCACAGTACTATGATTATTACATCATACAATATATAAGTTAACAACTCTACAGAGTTGGTTATTATATATTTACCTTAACTTAATTATATCTTAAGCATAGTACTATACTCAGATTGTAAAAATATATAAGCTAACAAACTCTACAGAGTTTGGGCTATTATATAGGTAGCTTAAGCTTATTCATATCTTAAGCTCAGTACTATGTTTATATCATATCAGTATATTAGCTAACAAACTCTAAAGAGTTTTTGCTATTTGGCTTAAGGCTCATCATATCTTAAGCAATATGGTTACATTATAACATGTATTAGCTAACAAACTCTACGGAGTTTTTTACTATTATATATGTAACTTAAGCTTATTCATATCTTAAGCGTAATACTATGTTTATATCATATAGGTATATTAGCTATCAAAACTCTAAAAGAGTTTTTTGCTATTATATATTTGGCTTAAGTTTCATCATAATTTAAACTTTATGGTTACATTATAACTTGTATTAGCTAACAAACTCTACGGAGTTTTTGCTATTATATATGTAGCTTAAGTTTTCCTTCAAATCTTAAGCTCAATACTATGTTTATATCATATAAGTATATTAGCTAACAAACTCTACGGAGTTTTTGCTATTATATATGTAGCTTAAGGTTTCCTTCAAAGCTCAATACTATGTTTATATCATATAAGTATATTAGCTAACAAACTCTACGGAGTGTTTGCTATTATATATGTAGCTTAAGGTTTCCTTCATAAACTCAATACTAGGTTTATATCATATAAGTATTTTAGCTAACAAACTCTAAAGGGTTTTTTGCTATTATACAATTAGCTTAAGTTTCATCATATCTTAAGCAGTATGGTTACATTATAAAATGTATTAGCTAACAAAACTCTACGGAGTTTTGCTATTATATATATAGCTTAAGTTTAATTATATCTTAAGCTCAGTACTATGGTTATAACATAAAAGTATATTAGTTAATAAACTCTAAGGAGTTTTTTTTTTGCTATATACATTTAGCTTAAGTCTAATCTTATCTTAAGCTTAGTACTATGGTTACATTATAAATCTATAAGCTAATAAACTCTACAGAGTTTTGGCTATTATATATGTAGCTTAAGTTAATTATATCTTAAGCACAGTACTATACTCATATTGTAAAAATATATTAGCTAACAAACTCTACAGAGTTTTGCTATTATATAGGTAGCTAAAGCTTATTCATATCTTAAGCTCAGCACTATGTCTATATCATATAAGTACATTAACTAACAAACTCTAAAAGAGTTTTGCTATTATATAATTAGCTTAAGTTTAATCATATCTTAAGCTTAGTACTATGTTTATATTTTAAAGTAATTTAGCTAACAAACTCTAAGGAGTTTATACTAGCATATTAACAAGCTTAAGTCTATTAGTCTTAAGCATTGTATTAATGTTATATATACTTTATCATAATAAGTACATTGTAATAACCTTTATATGGCAGCTGATAAGTTAGCAGCAGGAATTCATCAGTTCAGTACCTTTATGAAGTTCCCATAGGGTTATTACAATCATCACAGTTCAAATCACTAATTATTAAAATCCAAAGTATTATATATTCCCACCTCCGCTCTGTTGGATTCTACAAGCAAAAAGAGCATGAGTCAGGATAAGGAAAAATATGTAATTTTTAGAGTAAACTTGATATTTTATACTTATCCTGACTCATGAGGTAAGCCCTCCCATCCTCCCCACATAACACTTTGGATTTCCCTGTAAATTCAAATGTTGGGCTCAGTATATGAGGAGAGAGTGAGGCACATGGGTGGAGGTGGAGCCCTCGTTCCCGCGCTTGTGGAAGGGAGGTAACTCGTGCTGAGTACTAATTAGTGATTTTACATTGAAGGGAGCTTCAATTAGGGAGATACAAGTGTTCCACTATGTTCGCAAGAAGAAGAAGACAAGCAAAAAGAGCATGAGTCAGGATAAGTATAAAATATCAATTTTACTCTAAAAATTACATTGGTTATGTTTCTCTATTACGTTTAATGTGTGAAGCCCATTTCTGGTGTCCCTTGCCGTGATCTTGCTGGAATATTGCTTAAAGGGGCATAAAATTAAACTCACTCGCTAACTCCATTACAATATAATGGGGACAGGTTTTCTCAGAAAACTTTGTAGATTGGGAAGCCAAATTTGGTATGTGTTTTCAGGACATGAATTCCTTGACGGAGTTCGAAAACGGAATCTGTGTTATGATTTGTTACAGAGTTATGGCCCTTGTCATGTGTTTCTTGACTTGGTGCATGGTGTCCGAATGGGGACAGATTTTCTCAAAAACCGTTGTAGATAAGGAAATCACATGTGGTATGTGTTTTCAGGACACAAATGGCTTGATGGAGTTAGAAAATTGAACCTATGTTACGATTCTTTACAGAGTTATGGCCCTTGTCATGCTTTTCTTGACTTAGTGCACATTATCCCCAATGGGGACAGATTTTCACAGAAACCATTTCTCATTTAACAGCTTTTGTATCGCTGTTTGTAGAAAGAATGAATAGTTGTGAAAATAGGAACAGAACACTGTGGCGGGGGATATTGATGACCATGTCTTCTTGTTACTCCTTCCACTGTAACCCGTAAAGGTCTGGGTTAGAATATTGATCTTCAGTAACCCATGCTTGTCGTAAGAGGCGACCAACTGGATTTGATGGTCAGGCTCGCTGACTTGGTTGACACATGTCACTGGTTCCCAATTGCGCAGATTGATGCTCATGCTGTTGATCACTGGACTGTCTGATCCAGACTCGATTATTTACAGACTGCTGCCATATAGCTGGAATATTGCTGAGTGCGGCGTAAAACTAAACTAAACTCACTCTTTCTACTGTGTAGTAATATAGCAATGTCTTTGTCTTAGGCATCACTGAAAATCAAGCCCCAGCTGCGAGAGATCGATCGTCCAAATCTTAAACAGCCATGTCAGGTGAGCTTGGATATCTAGCCTAGAGACATCAGTGAATTATATCACACATGCATGGTCATGTGCAGAGTCAGAAAGTGTTTCTGGTTATAGTCAATCTTTCTCAGTTTTCTTGTTTTGTGATTTGGAACATGAATTCCGAAAGGGAAATTGACACTATATGATCCACCATTAACAATGTACTTCAACTCAAACCTGTATCAGATCAACTGCATTATATGTATTTGTTTAATTTGATAAGAGGTAATTAATTTAATTTTAATTTGATAGAATGTAACTGTTCATCATCATCAGACACTCATTTATCTTACTTCAGTTTCCTGTTTCCCTGTGTGCACAGATACCCAGATGAAACAAGTTGTTCATTAGAATGTTCATTCAGTTTGCATGAAGTGTACTATAATATCTTTTAACATGCAGGCCTGTGAAAATTCTAGTCCACCTACCATCAAAACTGTTCATTTCCTGGGTACCCCGTATGACAGGTTTGATATGGATGACCTGCCAGACCCATCTGACACGTGTACAGTGAGTACCCATGTTAACTTTCAGTTCTCCTTACATATTAAGTTGACGTCCTGTGATAGACCCGGAACCCTAATGCAATGTTAAAACCATAGTCCAGACTCACTGTCCGTACACCGATACACCCTCATATGAAGCATACAGAGGTTTAAATGTGAGACATAATAATCTGTGAGTCATTTGCATTCATCATTTGCATGTTTGCATTGCAACACCACCTGTTATAATGATAAATGTATCAGAGCTTGTGGTACTGTTATATACAGCTAATGGTTTAGACTTTAATGCGCACATTGCCCGATGATGCAGTGAATGGCTACAGCCATCTGTGAAGCACTTGATGTAGGGGACTGTTCTTGTGTTGTTGCAGGAGTTCATGATAGGGAAAACTGCTGCTCAGTATGTTGGAGTGTATCACAGTCTGCACCACTTCAAATATAACCTGTATAAGAGATGCCTAGCTAAGGTAAGTCAGTGCTCGTTGGTTGGTACCTGTTGGAGAGGGCCTTTTTGGTGAGCACCTGTTGGGAGGGCCTTTTTGGTGAGCACCTGGTGGGAGGGCCTGCTGGGGAGCACCTGTTGGAGAGGGCCTTTTTGGTGAGCACCTGTTGGGAGGGCCTGCTGGGGAGCACCTGTTGGAGAGGGCCTTTTTGGTGAGCACCTGTTGGGAGGGCCTGCTGGGGAGCACCTGTTGGAGAGGGCCTTTTTGGTGAGCACCTGTTGGGAGGGCCTTTGGGGAGCACCTGTTGGGAGGGGCCTGCTGGGGAGCACCTGTTGGAGAGGGCCTTTTGGTGAGCACCTGTTGGGAGGGAGCACCTGCTGGGGAGCACCTGTTGGGGAGGGCCTTTTTGGTGAGCATCTGTTGGGAGGGCCTTTTTGGTGAGCATCTGTTGGGAGGGCCTGCTGGGGAGCACCTGTTGGGGAGCACTTGTTGGGAGCACCTGTTGGGAGGGCCTGTTGCGGAGCACCTGTTGGGAGGGCCTGCTGGGGAGCACCTGTTGCGGAGCACCTGTTGGGAGCACCTGTTGGGAGGGCCTGCTGGGGAGCACCTGTTGGGGAGCACCTGTTGGGAGCACCTGTTGGGAGGGCCTGCTAGGGACCACATGTCCTTCCTGAGATTGTTTTCATGATTATCATTGATAAGAATTTCTTCAGTAACTCATACTATACAAACATAGCACAAGATGCTGCTTGCTGTACAGGGGGAGACAACTACTGCACATACTTATAGAACTTTTTTCTTTCAGGTGAAATTACTCCGGGACAGTACAAAGGGCATTGACAATGAAAAATTGCTAGACCAGTGTCTTCATAACAGGGCATGGGTATTGAAAGTAAGTCCAGTTTTATTAATAAGCCTTAAGTTGATCTGAAACTAATCTCTGACCAACCAATCTTTGCACTCGTTCTTGATCCTTAAAACTCAGAGAGGTGTAAATGTGAAAACGATATTCATCTGTGAGTCATTTGCATTCATCATTTGCATGTTTGCATTGCCACACCACCTGTTTTAATAATAAATGTGTCAGAGCTAATACAATATACCCAAACGTACCATAAGAATAGGCATCACAGCTTAGAGACAACAGATTATGCCTGTCCCTGAAAATTCCTACACACCCTCATCACCTTAATATTACATCTTGATCATCAAATTATTTACCATTTCAGATATTTGAGGACTTAAAACGAATGCTTGAGAAGGGATGAAGAAGGTGTGTTGTCCCTGCACTACATCCTGCCTTAGACTGTATTGTCAGTGACTACTGCCATCAGTGATAATCCTCCTCCTCATCTGTGTAGGCCACCAGGACTTCGCTCATCATCAGCCTGTACAGAGACATGGTCCTCGGAGGACACAAATCATCATCTGTGGTGTCATTGTCGTCCTCTCGTCTACAGACTGTGTGCATTTGTTTCTTGATTCCTGTGATGTGTGAACCGTCGTGATGATGTGACTGATTAGACTGGCATGTATCTCATTGTTTGGGCTGAGTATTCGGGACAGGTGGAAGCATGACCTGATCTTGGAAGAGATGGATAGAGCTTGACCTGAATAACAAACCCTTTGTAATGACATTACTGATGATGGGACTCTGTTCTGACCTGTGCAGCTCTGACCTGATTGTAAGAAATCCATGTAACACTGATGCTCATACCTGTTGGGTGGATCCCTGCCCTGCTAGGTGGATCCCTTTTCCGCTCTGATGGGTAGATGCCTGCCCTGCCAGGTGGATCTAAGCCTTTACAAGTGGTTGCCTGGCCTGTTGGGAGGATCTATGCCCTAATGCATGGACCCATGTCTTAATGAATGGCTCCATGACCTGGCCTAATGGTTTGATCCATCACAACCTTGACCCATGACCTGATGAGTGGTTTCATGGTTTGCATGATGACCTGACAGGAGAATCCAGATATCACAGGTGATCCCTACTCTGTGAATGGATCCATGACCTGCCTGAGAGGTAGATCCATGATCTGATGGGTGGTTTCAGGGGTTGAGGGATGGCTCCCTAATCTGATGGATAGATCTCTGACCTGAACTGGATGGATGGATCCCAGACCTGAAGGGGTAACCCCTACTAGATAAATGGACCTCGGGAATGGATCACAATCATGCTGGGTGGATTTCTTGCCTTACTGATGAGTTCTGTTTCGGAGTGATCTCTATCACAAGTGAAGTGCCGATGGGTTGATGGTTGCCCGCAGTATAATACTGAAGCTCAGTGCCTGTTAGGCTAACCAATGTATGTCAGATGACACTGAGAATGACAATGGTGTTTAAGGTGTAAGGTTAGGTATGGTCTTTCAGTTATCTTCTGTTTTCGTTGTCATGTAATTAGATACAACGCCAGAGACACCTCTGTTCTTTACAATCAGCTTAATGTGTGAACAGTTCCAGGCTGACTGAATTACTTGGGATTAGGGATGTCACGATACATAAGTTTCATGAATCGATACGTATCACGATACTCATGTCACAATTCGATACGTATCACGATACTCATGTCACAATTCGATACGTATCACGATACCTATTTTTGCGGCATTATTGCGTATATTTAGTTACATTGTGAACATTAATATTATAATTCTATAATGGTCCATGAAAAGATCAACATTTTTTATTCTCAGAGATTAAAAAGTTCTTATTTCCCATCTTTGTGCATGAAAATAATCATTTATAACTCTCATAACATCAAAAAACATACGATTGCAAAATGTAAATGATGCATAAACATATTTAAACCGATACTTTCAAAACTAAATATCGATACAGTTTTGAATGTATCGATAATTGTATCGTCTTAGGAAAAGTATCGATGCATTGTGTATCGATGTATCGTGGCATCCCTACTTGGGATGTATATGGTTGTGTTGAGGGGATGAGGTATTGGTTTAAGGAATGTTTCATTGTTAGCACTTCTCCGTGAAGTCATGGGCCGTAGTTGACAGTAGTTAGTATTTTATCTAATAATATTTTTTCAAGCACAAGGGCATGGAGAACTTCTTTCTCTGAACTTCACTGAAGAGGAAAACTGATGTTGTTTTCAAAATATACTTCTCAGTTATTGATTGGGAAAAACATATGTCAGATATACCTAAGTATACAGTTGATGAATGAGATTTTTGGGAGGAATCATGGAAAGATACAAACATCCTATCAAAAGTAGAGAATATGTGCTTCTGATTCTAATCAAGGATGAATGCATAATTCAGAGATTCATAATGAAAATAATTACGTATATATCCAGATTATTAATAGATATGGATAGTAGACATTGCTAGACATGTTGCTGATCATTCATGGAATGAATCTAGACTTGTGTGATACAAGATTCTTACTATTGGCTATATCAAAGGCATGCAAGGAACTTTCATTATCAAAATGTATGTATGATTAATTTATACAGAGCTCATGGAAACTATTATTGGCTAAATACAAGGTGAATATGTCTGTTGCATTTAATGCAAAGTTAGTGATAAGTTAAGGAGTGTTTGTTCTATTCCTGCCATTTTCAACAGATTATTTTGTTAGCTTAGTAAAACTCTTTTCTGGGAGACTGGTTTTAGCATCACTTTGAAAGAAATTATTTTAAAGGAAAGAAACGTGTTAATTTTTTTGTTAAGAAGCAAACATTTACTAGCGAGGTCATCAAAGTATTTAAGGGAGGCACGTTATGAGTGAACTGAGTTTGTCCATGGAAAAGGCTTTGTGTCTAGAGGATCGATAATGATCATTTCTATCAAAACACCTACAGTATTGTGACTGATGTCAATATGTTGCACATATATAACCTAGACTTTGCCGTATTTAGAAAGTGTGAATATACTATACAAAAGCTTCATGTGATAAGACGTAACCTAAACAGATATCACCATATTGGCAGCAAGTAAGCCTTTGATACTTTTTACATACTCCAGTGTCCCTACAGGAACCAATTTCAGTTGGATTATGAGAGATGTAGGTGCATTTAGCTTTGTTATTTTATTGTTTCTCCCTCTCTGAGTGTATACCCTTTATGCTTGAGCTTGTGAGAGTAGACTCTTGAGAAAGGAAAGATTTCTGTGATCAATCTAGTCAAGCAGCTGAAGCACATTTTCATAAGCCACACAGTATGAAGTAGGCCTCGAGTGTAAAACAGACTGTTGAGCATGTGGATCTTATGTATATTTGTTGTAGTGATACAGTAGAAACACCTGCACCAATATATCAGATTGAATAGAAGAAATATCTAGAGTAATGACCATTTATTCAAAAGCTACAATCGGAATGACGAGTTGTGATAAGGGGAGATAACTTGTGTTCATTATCTGTTCAGAATCTGAGATTCTGTCAAATTGATGCTTTGTATTTTTATATTATTGAAATTCCAATGTATATTCATGAAACATCAATCATATTTATTACTTTCTGATTGAGTATAAGTGCATAATAGATGTGTGAATTAATCATAGACTCTATATTGTTGTCATTGAAAGGTTATCAATATCAATGCATTGTGAATAACTGCTATTTAATCTGTTTTCTTCTCAATATACGTTGTTATTGACTGCCAGTTATTTGCAAAATATTGAGCATGTTTGGTTCTTTTAGCCAGTGTCAGGACTTTGTACAGTTTATGAAAAGAGCTTAAAATGAACTAATTTGCTGACTCGACACCTGATATATGGATTAGTTTCTGATGTAGTCGGATGTATTTGTATCATGTCAGGACTTGCATACTCTGGTGTATGTTTAACATGAAAAAAATCAAATAAACAAACTTTATTTCAGTTGCTTAACAAATATTTTTCCTCAAAAGTTTATAAACTGCAGTTGCTGTGTAAGTGATGGACAATGTCTGTGTGTAATTTACTGAAGGACCCCTGGTTCTAGAATCGTTACCATTCAGCTTATGTCCCTCGGAGAAGACGGATACATAGCCTGTGTTTTCTTACATTGTTTTGTTTGGTGTGTATGGGATTGTAAGCTGTACACTGTTGATTATGAAATGTTTTATTTTACAGAGATATTTTCTTGTTCTTAGGGCGGTGTATGACCCGTATGGGAGGGTAAGTTAAGGCCGGATTTGGTTGTTGTTGTTGTTAGCATAATCAATATGTCTGTGTATAGAATAACAAATTGATTAGTGCTTGACACCACTCACAGGAGCATTTTAGACTCAGAAGGTCATGAATTCTGAAAAAAATCATCCTTCTTATTAAAATCAGATGTTGGTTGTGGTTACTGCTTAAAAAACATACGCTGCCGTCCCATTACAAGCCACATCAGAGTGATGCTATATATGACCAATCAGGGCGAAGATAACCATTGTCGGACCCTATATATGACCAATCAGGGCGAAGATAACCATTGTCTGACTCTGTATATGACCAATCAGGGCGAAGATAACCATTGTCGGACCCTGTTTCAAAATCATGCAGTTAACAGAGTTATTCCCAACAGAAGTTACGGCCTGTACGACTGGTTCTATCAAAATAATCGTCTTTCTCTCCTCTTAATGGGATAAACATTTGATTGGAAGATATGTTCCAAATGCCCTTTTGGAAGTACCACTGGACAATCTCGACCATATATCAGACATTTCAGAATGTTGTTTGGGGCGGTGGTGTAGCGTAATGGTTCAAGCGTTGGCTCGTCACGCCGAAGACCCTGGTTCGAATCCCCACATGGGTACAATATGTGAAGCCCATTTCTGGTGTCCCCCGCCGTGATGTTGCTGGAATATTGCTAAAAGCGGCGTTGAACCAAACTCAGTCAGTCAGTCAGAATGTTCAATTTTCGATTTTTACGCAAACATAGTCTGGTTTGAAAGTGAACAGCTAGAAACAAGTGCCATACTCTTGAAGAAAGATGTTGTCTGTATGACTAGTGTGAACACCTTGTCAGTCATTTCATTGGTTGGTCAAAGGTCACCAAAGGCCGGTCTAATGTCAACTGTTATGAGATGTCCTCATATCTTTTTTTGGCTATATCGAGGACTAACATCTGATTTTAATATGATTGATGAATCATTAATATATTTTTGGGTGAAATATTTGTACGTGGGTTAAGGGTTCATCGTTTTTGAAATGAGTTTGCAATGAAAAGTTCTGATGTTTTCATCCCTGAAAGGCGTATTTTGTATGAGCCATATTTGAAATGAAGTGACATGGCATTTTCTCATCAGTATAGTTGGATAAACCTGGGAACAAGCTGATTAATGTTTCTAAAGCATTAACGACATCCCCTGTGTTGTAATTTATTTGTTGAAGCTACCTTTTGCATTATTATCTATTGACAAACAAGTTGTCTGTCATGAGACCTAGCATGACCAAATGTTTAAACCTGTGGTACTCCGCTCTGTACATCAATTCCTTTAATGGTTATTTATGAATAAAAATTGCTGAAAATTCAGCATACTGCGTATATATCTACTGTTAAGTACCTTATCAACTTCTGTTCACATTAAGACCTTTATTAAAAAGTGCTTATTGTTCAAGCCATCTTTGTGTTAAGATTATGGAAACTACATTACTTGAACACAGACATATAACTACCATAGCCTAATGTTACTTTGTGGCACAAGGCCCTAGACCTCCTCCTTTCATATCTCTGTTATGGAAAGGGAGGGTTTAGTGTGGTATTTAGATGTATTGGGGAGACATCATTAGATGTACCTGGCTCAGCAATTAACAAACTGGGCCTAGATTTTCGAAGCTCTCTTAGTGCTAAGATAGTCGTAAGTTAATGTTAATGCATGATACATACGACTATCTTAACGCTAAGAGAGCTTCGAAAATCTAGGCCCAGGATCTTTACAGTCAGACTTTGTATACATGAAGGTTGTTCATGGCCAAAAGTGAAATGTGTTAATATGAGTACTCTCAGTAACCTTTTACTCATCTGAAAAATATTTGTACCGTTCCTTTGTGCATGCAACTCGTGCTTTGTTTCCAGGTTATTCAAGTATCTAACGCTGCAGTCACTTCATGGACTACCTGTGTACATATCCTCCACCATGTCCGCTGTCTATATGTATATTAGGCCTGTACAATCTGCATTCAGTCATCATTGTAAATATCTCCGACGTCCCGTCTCCAGCTGGTGCTGAACCAAACTGTAGAAGCATAAACTGATGTTCCTACAGGGACGTGTGTCCGACAAAGAGTCATACATACAGAGCTCCCAGAGTGGATGAGCCATCATATTAGACTGACCAGGGTGCCATTGTACAAAGCGACTTCGTACTACGACTGTCGTAAGTCACTGTTAAGGTATGCGACCTGGTCAGTTACGACCATCTCAGTGCTGCTTTGTATAATGGCATCCTGGATGGTGAGTGGTTCAGGACAAGAGTTCGCTCCACTGAGATAGACCACAGTGCCATTGTACAAAGCGACTTTGTACAATGGAAGTCACTGTTAAGGTATGGTGACCTGGTCAGTTACGACCATCTCAGTGCTGCTTTGTACAATGGCATCCTGGATGGTGAGTGGTTCAGGACAAGAGTTCGCTCCACTGAGATAGACCACAGTGCCATTGTACAAAGCGACTTCGTACTACGACTGTCGTCAGTCACTGTTAAGGTATGCAACCTGGTCAGTTACGACCATCTCAGTGCTGCTTTGTACAATGGCATCCTGGATGGTGAGTGGTTCAGGACAAGAGTTCGCTCCACTGAGATAGACCGCAGTGCCATTGTACAAAGCGACTTTGGTACTACGACTGTCGTAAGTCACTGTTAAGGTATGCGACCTGGTCAGTTACGACCATCTCAGTGCTGCTTTGTACAATGGCAGCCTGGATGGTGAGTGGTTCAGGACAAGAGTTCGCTCCACTGAGATAGACCAGGGTGCCATTGTACAAAGCAACCTTAGTACAGCTGTTAAGGTATTTCAGTTGCGACCACCTCAGTGCTACTTTGTACAACTGGAGGGTTTGTGGTTCCAGGACAGGATTTCGCCAAAACAGATGTTAGTTTAAAAATGCTGGGTTGTTCGTTAACAAGGATTTGCTCTTGCCTCTTACAACTGGGGGTCGTCATTAAACCTTAACTGAATTGTGAGGAGTTTTTAGGTTTTAAGTAGGGGGTCTCTTTAAAAAATAATCGAAATCATATTTTGTTGTGATTTTTTTTTTTCAATCTAAAAAATAACATCTTGTTCTAACAAACCCGGGTTTTTTAAAAAATGTTTTAAGTATTTACCTACAATTTGATGTTGTTATTCGAGTAATATTGTAATCCTCAATATTTTTACTTTATTTGTCAAAAAGAGATCGTTACAGACTAACAAAGTAAAGTAAATGCAGTTCAATATTGTGCGTTTCTGCTGTCCAGACACAGTTCTGAAAGTTATATGCCCTACATGAAAGGAATATGCCCTACTTTATACCTGTACATGGATCACACAGCAAATTTACTGTCACACCAATGTGTTTCGCTGACCACTAATTTTGTAGGGCTGTCACAGTGTTTGCAATGAATAAAGGTTGAATGTGACCTGAATCAAAGCTAGCAATGGAGAAATTTTACTGTGTATTTTCTACTTGGATTTCAGGTTTTCTGTGTAAGGGCTAATTTTTTAGGTTGGGTAGTTCCTGGACAAGTGTGAGCCTCAAGTTGGGAGTTACAGGAGAGAGGGTGGTTCCTTGACTAGGGCAAGCCCTCATGGGGGACTCACAGGAGACCTCTGAATGACAGAATCCTGGTTACTTCTTTCCAAAGTCTGAAAACATATTCACACTTAGTGGAATGAATTAGTGGATGTGGAACTGTTGTATATTTCTTTGAAACAATGTCTAAAGGCTGTTCATGTTATAACATGTAGGGTACAACATAGTCCTGTTTAGGTAATGGAACAATACCATGTGAAGCAATGACACTTTGTTACAAAATGTATCAATAATGATGAAATAGTACTGTTCAGGGGCATGTGGTAACAGAGGGATGTAATATAGGGATTAGTTGGAGGTGATATTGTACTGTATCAGATACCAACAGGGTGTAATATAAGGAATTAACCATACCCTAATAATACTGTATATGTGTTGTGTAATACAATAACCTTCAATTTCTGCTAAAATGGTAACCAAAGTTTATGCTGATCAGCTTGTAAAAACCCTAACTATTAGTACATCATCTTCAACTCAAACTGTGTATTCAGAAGGGAAATATCACAAATACACCAGTAAGCATGTGTGTATTCAATAGGCCTTTGATGGTATGTTATTGCTCATTAAGTTGACTATGATATACAGTCCTGGGCCTAGATTTTCGAAGTTCTCTAACCGCTAAGTTAACGTTCATGTATGGCACTTACGACTATCTTAGCGTTAAGACAGCTTCGAAAATCTAGGCCCTGCTAATTTAGCCACTTGTGTGAGCATCAGATCTAGATTGATTGTGGGTTTGTTTGGGTCAATACAATAACACTAAAATCTCAAAATGCTAGAAAAGTCAATGTTTTGGCTTGCAGAACCAAAGGTTGTGACAGACTGATGGTATTAACCAAGATCAGGCTCTAGCTCTAGGTCTTGATCCAGTAAATAAGATTTCATTTTTTAAACTTGAAAAATGGTAATTTGCAGTATGTCATTTCAAATGATAGTGGTAATTATCTACAATCATCTATACTCTTTGATGAAGAGCCATGTGTTTACTAAAGGGTATATGGTATATGACCAAATAAGTACAGGAATAGGCATAGTGGAGACGTTCTAGAAAAGTTGAAAAATGAGGTTTAGGGTGTCAGGAAAACAAACCTGTTTTTTGTGGGAGGTAGGTGCTGAGTCAGCAGTCCTTGTTCAGGGTGAGAAGTGCAGGATATCCAAGACGGAACCTTGTACACCATGAAGGAAACAAACATCAATTAGAATGGTTATTTTGATGGGCAGAAACTTTTTCAATCCAGACATTGATTGTCTCTAAGTATTTGTTGTATGTTGGGGTGCATTGATGCCTCTTTGTTACGGAGTTTGTGAGAGTGGAGCTAAGGTTCATGTTGTACAAAACTCACATGTTGTAGAAAGACGTTCCCTTTGTTATATAATTATTACCATTTTACATCAGTTTTAGTTCTAATCAAAACTTGTACAGTGAAATGTACTTCTGTCATGTAGAAGTCGTCTACAACCAATGTTGATGGTGGCATATGTTGGTCGCCGAGAGCAGCGAATGAGTGATTAGCCTGTCTTTTACTCCTGAATAAATGCATTTATGCTGTACTCTGGTCGTGTGTATTGTGATGTACCCTGGTGTTTGACTGTCCAGGTGGCTTGTGAACCGGTTGAAGGAGTCTGACAAGCGTCTTTAGACAAACCTGGTTGGCGGAAACCAGTACGAGCCCTCATCTTTTCGGGGTCATAAGAGGTGACTTGTACTGCATCGGACTAGCTTGTACTGACTACTTGCTAATGGTACTCTGATAAGGTCAATCACTGGATTGTCTAATCCAGCCTCAATCTCCAAACTGCTAAAGTATTGCTGAGTGTTGTGTTGAACAAGAAACATGGTTATTTGTTAAAAAAAACATCAACTGAAGGGGGCATGGATAACCCTTGTCAACAAAAACAGCCTGGGAGATTTGCGTCCCTTTGTCTCATCAGGATCAAATTGACTGTTGGTTTGATTCCATGATTAGCACTGAATGTGATCCATGGTTTGTCCTCACTACGACGTAATTCACCCAAGTGGTAAACATTTTCAAGACTTTAGCTGACATTCAGGGTACAACTGACGCGCTGTACCTAACCGAGGGTTCGAACCCGGATTCGTCGGAATGACTTGCTAACCGCAACAAAGCCATGTCCTTGGGAACGCCTGAACAAGACTCGACTACATGACCTATTTCAAGTAGCAATCTTTACAGTAGAAACGTATTTAGGTATTTCCTAAATATGTATGTATATTATAGGCCTACAGTTATTCATTGACTAAATTAATCTCCGAGGTCCCGTACATACATTATATCCGATGTTTTCGTTTATCAATGATAGTGCAGTCGATTAGTATGTGCTCAGTGTTTTATTATATTCACCCTGGACCCATTCGTTGAAATAATCTCGTTTCGGGCTGATTGGAATTACAAGACGCTATAAAACTAGCTTTCCAATCTATATGTATGATATGTTAGTGACACTGGGAGGTCACATTTCACTCGAGGATATGTTCAAGGTAGATTTGGAAAAAAAACTTGGAATTTCAAAGCGTCCGTAAAATATACCAAACGTGGCACTTACATACATGTACTTATATTTTTTTATATCTTTGGACACGCTCTTGATACTGATAAGCTCAAACATATTTTTATAGTACATTTTACACTAAATCGTAACAGTTTGAATATCTTCTCTGGTTTTCAGGATATATTCATGAAAATGGACATTAGTGTTGCCCCGTAGAAGGCCGTCTCAGTGACGGTGTTTCGTTGTAATGATATACTCTGTGGCACCGTGGCTGTTAGCTTTTGGTCTGTATTTCCCGCAATCCCTTCCGAGATCGAGGCTCATGCTGTTGATCACTGGATTATCTGGTCCAAGGGAGGTGAAACGGGTAAAAGATTATTTTGACGTAAAAGAAAAAAATAACCAAAGGGAATTTGATGAAAAAAGTTACGTAGTCCAGGATACAAGAAGTGTTTCCACCATCTGTCAGATTTTACATTTGTAGGATTTAAACGGCCCCAAACCAGGTTAGATTATTTTTCTATCATCTACGAAACCAAATCGAACCTTGAGATGAGAAAAATATCTGTATAATACATTTCGCTTTATTGTTTTGTTCGACGTTTACCGAGCACATTTCTCACACAAAACATCACCCTTCCTGTGTGATCAGTTTCCTCTTTGAGTGGCATTTAGAAGTCGGGACGTACAATATTGAACAAACTTTATGGAGACCAACTTCTTTATTTCGTGAGTGCGACGTTTCGATACAGATTATTGTACCATTGTCGTCCCTGCTTGACAACGGTTCAAGAATCTGTATCGAAATCACGAAATAGAGGAAGTTGTTATCTATAAAGTTTGTTCAATACTGTGTGATCGATTGAAATATACAGGATCACCATAGGTTCCCAGCAAACCATGGTAATCGATAGACTTTGCTCATAATATCAATCACCGGATTGTCCAGACCGATTTACAGACCACCACCATCTAGCCGGGATACTGCCGTGTGCGGCGTTAACAACAACAGCAAACAAACAAGACTGTTCACAGCATATAGCTTGAATGGTACTCCCGGCTTTTTTCTGTTCCTTAGTTCCTTATAAACACTACTGGCAAACAAGGATAAGTTGAGCACCGACATGACAATTGACCCGCATGTATGAGTGCCGCCCACTGGTGCTTGCCATCGTTAACGAAGGGCCCCAGGTTGTCCGCGATAGAGTATAGTGCGATGGGTGAAGCGCGTGGCCTGTCTCAGCAAACACCGACTTTGACAGTGGCAGGAATCAATTCCATCGTCATGCAATGCACGTGCACTAGCCTACATCTGCTCTACCTTTCACAAACCAAATGGGTTTGCTTATTGCCGTGCACCACCTACTTCTCGTAAACGCGTTCTCTGCGCCGGTCCAACTTATCCTTGTTTGCCAGTAAATCTCTAATTGACATACGAAAGATAGAAACGTTAGAATGTGGTCCTATTTTTACAACCGGGTTGTAAAATACCCACCAGTAACCCTTTCAATGAAGCGGCACAGCAATCAAGGGTGAAGGATCTGATCATCGGGAAGATGTGGCTCCTTGGCCTCCATCCCAGCCTCAGAGATCGTGACTCTTCGGATGGGAGCGACAGGCAGTGTTTACGTGTCTGTAGACCGATATTTATCCTCAAACATATCTGCGTGAGTACACTGCATCGTATTTGTTGCGTGGGTGGAATAGTGTTTTGTTTAAGGAAATTACCGTGTTTTCTTTGCCATTTCACAGCATAGGCGTTGAAAGGCGGTTTTTGTACATTCGTCATCATTCGCTTGTTTCCGCAGCACAGAAGAAGGCCATTCGGTCTGTCGCGGAATGACCCGAGTGTATTTTTATGCACAATGTAATGACTAGAACCGTTGACAAAGAATGGATAGACCATGGACCAGATATATAACACCGATCGTCCTGACACAGTCACACAATTTGCGATCCTTTATGACATAATCGGATTTAGTAAATGGGAGAAAACCTCAAACCAAACCCACCAACAAACATGTTCACCAAACCCACCAACAAACATGTTCACATCATTGATGAAATAGCAGGGGTGGAAATAACTTTAAAATTGCTAGTGTACTTTGGTACAGTGGCACATGTAAAATCACTTGCCCTGATAATTTTCCGACTATACCGTCTGATTTCCTTGTTGATTTAAAGTAAACAACATAATTAACATTGGAAAGTCAACCGGACACCGATACAGTGTGATATACGAATTTGCTTGCCTGACAGAAAAAAACACTGGACTCGGACGTCGGGTAATGGGTTATTTCCATTCCTGAATAGGGTCGGCAGATTGCTAAATAAAGATAAAAATTAAAAATGCCTCAAAGTTATTTCCGTCAGCGGATTATCTAGGTGATTATCTTCGCGAGATCCATCACAAAACACCCGCCATTATCGTAGCTACCTTCCAACCGGTCAACACATCTCCTTCCGCTCAACGTAACTCGATAACTTGTGATTAACAGTCAACATGGTCGTAACTCAAGACTGAGAAATGTAGACATCGTTGGGGGGATTCAATAACCGCGGCTGGGACCTTTCCCACAATCAATCACACAGATTTCCCCCACGAAGTTTGGTTCTTGAAAGGGAGGATGGTTAACTCCTGAGACTTAATTACACCGGAAATTGCCCACTGCGCAAGTGCAGCTTTAATTTGCCACCGGAAGGAATGATTGGAAATAGTTAACACTGGTTAGTGATTTGTGTCGAATGTATTTAATAGTAATTACCTTCGTGTTGATTACCACACCTAAACAGAGATGAGAACGGGGACGATGGGGTTGCATAGTGGTTAAAGCGTTCACTCGTCACGAAGGAGACCTGGGTTCGATTCCCCACATGGTAACAATGTGAAGCCCCTCTCTGGTGTCTCCCGCCATGATATTGCTGGAATATTGTTAAAAGCAGCGTAAAACAAAACTCACTCACTAGGATGAGAAGGACGTTTGAAATAATCTGGCACCACGTATAATGTAGTCTCATGTGTAACACATAGCGTAATGTGGTGTTCGTTCTGTTTTGGAAATATTCACTGGAACCTTTTAATATTGGTTAGTTTTAAAGTTATTGTTAAATGTAGGACTGGGACGGGTAGGAAAAAATGGAATCGAGTATCCGCACGTACTCGAGTACCCGGAAATGTTATGAATATATAGCTTCTGTCAGCTTTCTGAATATTCAATCACGATTTGACAGAGATTATATAGAAAACCTAAAAGGATGGCAATGAGGCATTGAAACTGATCTTAGGCAATCTGACTTAAGTGTGTTTATAACCAATATAAAGAGTAACACCATTACTTACATTGCTACTTGAAACACAGAACATTTTTAAAACACTTTCATTCGCGCTTTACTGTGACTTGACTACTCACTGCTCATGCGCAGATAAATTACCGTCGCTTATAATAACCTCCATTAACTCACGTCACTCACATACAATACCATTGCAGTTTCTATACATTTTATAGTTTAACAAATAATAACAAGCATACAGTTATCCCAATGAAGATACGCAATGTTTGCTTAGATGCAAATTTAGAATATTGATTTAATAATAATTGTTTTTGTTAATTTAAACGTGATAATATAGCATTTAAATACATTTTTTTATCCCTACATTCAAACAAAAGCATTTCAATGCGACATTTATCTTCTGGATACGCTGCTTCTATTTCTGATCATCTCTCTTCTTATTGCAATAATAACCAATCGAACATTGTATTTGCAAATCAGAATGTGCTCTTTCAATACTGGTATACATTCGTTTAAATATGTAAATTCATTAGTTTTAATTGATTTTCCCAACACACACAATCATTTAATTGCAATCTCATTAATAGTCAGTGTATTCAGTTTTGATGCAAATGTAAAGCTGTGTTTCATGAAATTGAAATAAATTAGAAACTCAAGACAAAATTCAATGTAATCTTAAAAGCTTTTAATGAACTAACTTGATAAGCAATGAACACAGTAACACAATGTAACGAACACGTTAATGTTTT